CCTCTATCTTTCCCTTTTCTTTCTTCATGTCTATAGCATATGCAAGAAAACTAACACATCCCTTTTGTACATACTTTAGAGCCTTTAAACTGAGACAAGGCTGGAGTACCGATCTCGTCGATCCCCGTAAATTACAACCTTTCCTTTTTCCGGTAAGTCTACATGGTTTCATCACAGACTATGTTAGCTTGGTTTTTAGCTAACCAATCCATGCCTATAATTATATCAAACTCCCTTAAAGACAAAAGAAATAATTGTATAAGCACCTCACACCCTTCTATACTTATGAAACATTCATCTATCTTTTCTTTAACCAAAACTTCACTATCGTTTGTTGTTTCCACAATTAAATCCTTACTTAACGTTTTAGATTCTAAATGTGCGCAGTTAACAAACGACAGTGATACAAAAGAAAGATTTGCACCCGAGTCAAATAAAACATTGGCACATACGAAATTAACAAGGAATGTACCTGTCACCACTTCAGGATGTTCTTCCGCCTCTTCTCTCGTCATTTGAAAGGCTCTCCCTTTAGCATTTAACTCCCCACGTCTTATCTCTCCTCGACCACTTGGGTTAATACGATTATCCATTGACCCACGACCTGTTAGCACCATAACCAAATCCTCGGCCCCCAAAATATCCAGATCCTCGACCTCCAGCAAAACCAGACCCTCGTCCCTTCGCTTGTGGACAGTCGGCATTGACATGTTGAGAGGAATTACATGTAAAACATCTTTACGTCATTCAACAGTCTCGAGCTATATGTCCAGGTTTTTTACATTTAAAACGTACTCGCAACTCTGTATTTCAATTTCCTTGATGTATTTTATGACATCGTGCGCATGCCTTATCAGCAAACCTTGGAACTGGTCTATTCAAAATTTCCATAAACCTTGGTCTACGGAAATCAGTCATTGTAGTTTCCCCCTTTTTTTTATATCCAACCCTTTCTTGTCGTTGTTGATTGATATCTTGTTTCAGTATCTCAGCAGCGTCAACTGCTGCTTGAAATGTTGTCGAATTTCTGGATATCATATACTTCTGAAGATTAGGCTCCAAACCCCAAATATACTTTCTTACTTTACTATTTTCGGATATGATATAAGCTTCAGCAAACCGGGATTGTTCCATGAAGACTTCTGTGTACTAACGAACTGACATATTTTCTTGTTCTAGACAAAGGAAATCATCTTCTAGTTTTCGTACTGCTGCTTCAGGACAATATTGTATCTTAAACTTTATCACAAATTCCTCCCATAGCATTGTTTTCAGAATGTTTGGATCTGAACTTGATAGAACCTCCCACCAGTATATAGCACTTGACCTTAGACGAGACACAGCAAACATGACCTTATCTTCCTCTGCACTTTTACTGATTTGCAGACTTAGTTCAATTTTTTTAAGCCAACACATGGCTTTGACAGGGTCACGTTCACCAGAAAATTTAGGAGGTTTGCAAGCAAGAAACATTTTAATATCCCCTCCTTTATGAACTGAAGATGAAGTAAGGGGCACTGATGTATCTGTTGCCAGTGTACTTGCTCCAGCTTCCTCCTGACGTTCAGGATCCCTTACTAATTCTGGATTATTTTGTGCCATACGTCGCAACAAGCTCACCAAACTTTCTTGGAATTTTCCCAACTCAGCTGCCAGCATTTCCTGAGTAATAAATCCGAGATCAGGAACATTATGTCCACCCTTTGCTCTTCCTCTTCCATGGCCAGATATTGAACTTTCTTGTGCCGACAATTCCTATTCCATATGAGTTTCTTGTCTAGTACTTCTACCTCTTCCTCGACCCCTGTTGCGACTTCGCGTTTCCATTGTCATCATATTTTCCGGGTCTTCTCCTTGGGTTACATTTCTTCTTCCCCGACCTCTTCCATAACCGGTAGAAGTCCTTTCTGATTGGTTAGGATTATTTGCCATTTCTCAGTGTATGTCTCTTTCTGTCACATTTAAACACATATGATCATTCACATAATCAAAACATAATAACACTTTTATCCTCAAGTCTCTCTATAACTCAAGATTATATCAGTCATATATATAATCTAACTTTCTCATAATAGGTTCAGCTATAACATATTCCTATGTTCATAGTCCCAGTGAAACCTATTAATATAACTTTCACATCTCCAGTTTAAGTCTAAGTATTACCCAATACCCAGATCTCTTAAACCTGGCTCTGATACCAACTGTAACAACCAACGATTACTACTTACAGATAATCCACATAATCATATTATAAAGCAAAGTGTAATATTGTTTACAAAACATGGGTTAACAAAAATTTTGTTTAATACATTTGTGTACATCTACACATCATCATTTAAACTTTTCCCTTGCCTTTATCTTGCGATGTATGATGACCTGCAAAACAGGTTAGTCCAACAACTGAGCATTAGACCCAAAAGGTCTAGTGAGTGTACAAATCTCATACAAATAACTTACATCCCAAACTAACATTTTAGAATCAAACCTGTACATACACAAACATTTTATCTATATTTATTATAGATTCTTTTCCTTCCTCGGTCACTCCGCCATTTCATATGTCTCGCGGTTACATCGCCACTACATCTCTCTCTTTCACGGTTACACCGCCATTACATCTCTCTCTCGTGGTTACACCACCATTTCATATCTCTCGCGGTTATACCGTCATTACATCTCTCTCTCTCTCGCGGTTACACCGCCATTTCATCTCTCTCGCGGTTACACCGCCATTACATTACTCTCGCGGTTACACCGTCATTACATCATTATCAAACAATTTTAAAACAGTAGAAATATCAAACAAGATTCAGCCGAATAGGAAATCCGGTCAATTCTTATCCGGATAAGTAATTCGGGCATCCGTCCGGAGATGTAATCCAGACATCACTGTCCGGTAATCTAATTCGGACGACACTCAGTGATGCTTTAAGCGAATTGGTTAAATCGAATGGCTTTTGAGCGGTTTAGGTTCACATCGGACAACCTTTAACCGGTTTAGGAAGTAAACCGGATGATACTTGGCCGGTTTAGAAAGTATATCAGGCGAGTCTTGAGCGGTTTAGGATGAAACCGGACACCTCTTGTCCGGTTTAGGTTGAACCCGGTCACCCTTTGAGTTATTTAAAGGAAATCCGAATGACTCTTGTCCGGTTTAAGAAATTTCCGGACAATATGTAATGCAGTTCATAATAAGCTAGTTTAAACAACAACTGAATTATTGTACAAACAACTAATACTTCAAAGCATAATACACTCACCTTTGATTCGAATTTGGCTTCTAATATCTGCAACTTCTTTATACCTTTTTTTTCCTACAGTTTTTCTTTCCAAAAGAAGAAAAAAAGCCTTTTTTTCAAAAGCACTTGTTATTTATAGCAAGTGCTTTAACTGCCTTTATCCACAAATCCCTCCCAAAATTCATACCTACCTTAAAATATATATATATATATATATATATATAATTCTTAAAATAAAATAATCAAACTGATTATTACAATTTAATAAAGTAACGTGATTATTTTAGAACCCTAAAAAAAACTTGACATTTATAAAAGAAAAAAAATAGAATTTGATATGAATAAATAAAGTTTCAAGTGGATAATTAAGGTTTGGTACTATATCAAATTTTTATATATGAAGTGTGAGGGGGTGCCAATGCCACTTTTGGCTCCAAGGTGGCTTCGCACATGCCAAGAACTAAGTTGTGGTACCTGGTGTCGAAGATGACACTAAATAACATATATTTCCCGTGCTCCTTTTGAGAAGGAGTATTACAGATTAATTCTTGACAGTATTTTAGTCTATTTAACTTGGCTAGTTTAGTTGTTGTATTTGGTTAGTTGTTTGTTAATTGCTAGTGTAGAGTTAGTTTGGGTAGTAAGATGCTCCTTTCTGGTATTAATCATAATGCATATTTTCCCCAAATTATGTGTTATAAAATAGGACAAGACAGGGTAGGAGGGACAAAAATAAGGTAGGTGAGTGAAAGAGTTGTGCAATGTTTTAGAGTTTTAATTATGAGTAATTTAATAGTTTACTGATATTTTTTCGGTTCTCATATCTCCGTTCCACCTATTATGGTGTCCCACTAAATAAAACAAAAATCTTGCTTATATTCGTTCATTTATTATGGTATTCTACTTACATTTGACAAGTACAAACGTAACTTCTCGCTTACAAGATGAAATTAATTAAGCTGTGTAATAAAATGAGTCATTAGATCTAGTTTAGTAGTTGAGTTTTGTATTTGGATTTAGTTATGTTATATCTATTTCACCAAGGTTGTATCGGAGTGGGTTAGTATGTGTCATATGAAACAGGGTCGGAATTTTTGGGACCCAAAAATCATATCCGATAGAAGAATGATTTTATTTAATTTATTATTTATGTTACTTTATTATTTTAAAATATTTTGAATGTAATATATGGAATAAATTTTTGTTTCATTTATTACTCGTCGCGTTTATCTATTCACACATGAATACAGGAGAAAAGACATACCAAACACAATGATTTCCTACCTCATCAATTTGATTACAAGCATTTTTTCATGTAATTGTCCAAAAAAAGCTTATATTACATTGCATCACTTGTAAGCCAAGAGAATAATATGGATCTCACCAATATCACTGATTGAATATGGATGGCATTATCAATTCTCATTAAAAAAAACAAATGTTCTAAATTCATAATTTTAAAGATTCAGTGACAATTTTCTGTTATGTAATGGCATTCTCAAACTTAAGAGTTCTTCGATTCATTTTCCATCAAAATCTATATGAATAAAGTTATTTGTATTGATAAAGTTGTTTGTATGATAACAGATAAGTTGTTCAGTTATTGTGTTGAATAAACAGTCTGAATGTCAAAAATGATCATTTTACCACCAATCTATGTTTTAAACAGTTTGGATACAATTAAAAATTTCAAGTGAGACAATTAAAATACCAGATCCTGCACAAAAATTTCATCCACAGACTAGAACTAGAACCATGTACACAAGCATTTCATCAAACACATCAAATGAAAAGAACTTGATAGAAGACCAAGATCCCATCAAAAATTTATGGACATTATGAAAAGCCCACTTGAACAGAAGTAGGAAAACGTCTGCATAATTCTCCTGCTTCTGTAAAACTATAAAAAAAAACATTGACTTCTAATTAAATGCCACAACACATCAAATGAAAAGAACCAAAAAGACTGCTCCAGGAGACAAACTAAACCAAAATCCTGACAGCTGATGCCATGTTAATCAGTTCATCCTCAGTTACTCTCTTCCACACACCACCAATCATCAACCCATTCTTTAACATTCTGTCTTCATCTTCTTCATCAAACAATTTGCACTCTTTAAGTTTCTTAACATCTGAATTCTCCAAAACTCCATCAGCTTCTCTCTTACCACCACAACGCTTTACTTCCCCTGAATCCTTTTCCTTCACTTGGTCTACCTTTTGGTCATCAAGAACAGGAACTAGACCAGAAGAACCAACGTCCGAAGGCAACATTCCAATCGGACATGGCTTCCATGATTTTGCAGCACTCCATTTCGTAATCTTCGTTTTGACTGCTGTCCTTAAGTTATTTTTCTGAGATAATTTCTGTTTAAGGATATCAAGATTGTTGGCTGCTTGACGTATGTAGTTCTCTTGCTGGTTGTAAAAGCTCTCGGAATCAATAATATGTTCCTTAACGAAATCTGTGTTTGATGCATGCAAGGATGCTAGCTTGTTCAGTTTCACGACCAAAGTCTGATTACCAGCCCTTTGTGCAAGAACTGAGGCTGCGGTTGTCAGATGGTTATCACCAAGTGAAGAAACCATGAGACATTTACGTAGGAGATGTACAAGAGCTGATTTGGGGAGACTTTTCTTGTTTGGTGTTCCTGCAGTTGTAATTTTCCGGCGACAAGTCTTTAGATCCTTGAGGTTCCCCACAAGCCACTCAAATAGACAGGAAAGATGATCTGTTTCATGAAATCCAGAATTGTACTTGGGTTTGAGGTGTTCTCCTGATACATATGTAAGATTTTATTGTAAATCGAGAATGAAAAAGTTAATGCAACTTCTAGTTAAAAAAAATTATGCAATGCAGCAATCCGATAAACAAATGCAGTGGAAAAACGGATACATCAGTAAACAGAGCGCAGCTCCTAAAGCACATAAACAAGATGCAGAAAGAATCATATGTAATTAGATTGCCCTAAGTGCACCGAAAACAACTAAAATCATGCAGATAACAAAGAAATATATTAAAAGCACAAATATACAAGAAATCAAAGCATTCTAAGGGTGGAATGCACAGGTGTTCAATGCAGTGAAGATCAAGTCGATCAATTGCAAAATCTTAATATGCATTATGAATCCCGAGCTAAGGAAGTCATCTCCCTGTGCATCAAGATTCTAAACTGATTAAAACCCAATATCATACCAGGAAAGTAGATGAAATTACCTGCATCATGTTTTGAAGCTTCATGGGTCTCAATCATTTGAAGTACTACTTTGAGAAGGCTTAGAAGCATCTCCGGTTCTTTATTCGACAACTTCATAACTAGAGCTTTCCAATCATCAAGTTGAGTATCGTAAGTTCCAGAGTTGCTAACAGGAGAGCTGTCTGGAAGCTCTACCACATCGGCTGATTCTAGAGCCTTCAGCAGGAACTCCAATAAGATAGATACCACTTCCGAGGGGAAAGAAGAATATAACTTGAGAAGATTCTTCAATGCCTTGTTTATATGTTTCTTGGAGCCTTGAAAATATAAAAAACCATCATCAGGCATCGGAAAGAAAGAACATGAAAACCATCAAATGTGTAGGGTGTGGATGGGTGGGAGGGGGCCATGGTTGTGTGAAGGATCGCAGTTTCCTATTTGTTTGTTGGGTTTTTCTTTTTCTTTTGGGTGGGGGGAAGGGACAGAGATGGTTGTGTAGTATTTGTCTATTTCATTGATGAAGGGTGTATCTGTAGAAAAGTAGTAGTAAGATCTAATATTAGTTGCAACCTGAACATCGTCTGTTGGGAAATGGTGATGAATATCAAGGATCTCCTCGTGCAATTAGGAAATGCTGATGAAAAACATCTGTTTTGTTTGAAAAAATAAGATCTGTTCATTCTAATTGTAAGTTTCTAACTAACGACTGTAATGCGACAAAAAAGTTCAGAAACAAGAGAAATATTATGGACATTTGTAAGATACAGACATGTTTGTATCGACTATGATGCATCTATATAGGATCATATGAAGAACAAAGGCCATAATAACATATCCATAAGCAATTGATTTGCGAAGCTCCCTGCCCCTCCCCCCTCCAACTTGATTGGTCTGTATGACCTAGTACATGTGTCTCAGGTTTTGTCAATCAATGGAACACATAAAGAAAAGAGGATAAAATCATCATATAAGTATTAGAAGAAAATGGAAGAAACAAATAACCGTCAAAAACTGAACATACAATGCAGTGTAAATGGAATATGATGGTCTTGCCTGAAGGTTTAGAAGACTGAATCTTGACAGCCATTAGTGATAGAAACTTACTACGCCCGCATAGGTGTTCACAATATTTGATGCCTAAGCGCAAAATCAATAAAATAAAACTGAAATAGATAAAATCTCATCAACTTCTAGACTACTACATCTGTAAAAATCATTGGATGCAATGCAAGAACGAACCAAATACTGAAAATGGATTTCCACACAATATAAATATTGCACCTTCAATAAAATATCAAGTTCAATCAATATATTTCGAATCAACTCAGATCCTAATCAGTTGCTCATCATCTATCAGGATTCAGGAAGATAATTTATTTCTTGCCCAGGAAAAAGAATTCAAGTACTCATTCTCTCTCTCTCTCTCTCTCTCTCTCTCTCTCTCTATATATATATATATATATATATACATACATAGTTTCTGTGTATCTTCCACAAAATATCCTTCCGCCAACTACCTGAGTTATAAAGGACTAGATAGTAAGCTGAAATTTACATTCAAGTAGCCCAGTCTGTAATTTCCAGTCTCTAACCTTTCTTACTTTATTCCTTTCACTTGAGGGTTATTTAGATGTTTTGTATTATTAGATTGCTTTCTTATTTTCCATTTTGATGCAATGTGCTCCCTTTGCCTTGGTTTAATCTCCTAAGGGGTAAGGAGTGACTTTATGCCCCAAGCATTTGGGTCACTCCTTGGATAATGGATCAACAATGGTGCTCCGCAGCTGGTCTTGTTTAGGGCTTCCAACAGTGCTTAATCCCGTAAGTTCTCTTGCCACACAATTTACATGCATTGAAAACATGAATGGGTCTTAGACCCAGCAGCTACAGTGATAGTGACAATAAACATAGAGTTCTAATTTCCAACAACAGGCTTTCAATTGTTTCTACATAAATTTTGACACGCTGCTCAGAGGAATTTGTAGACAATATCTTCAAAGTCTTGTGAGTTAATTAAGATCTTTACTTATTTATCTCTTGCTCTAGTGGCAAGAAGTAAGCTCTGCAACTGATTCCACTCTCATGACAAAGCAAGTGCCATGAAATAGATCTAGCGAAAGACCCCCTACAAAGTGGGAGATGAACAAACTCCATATCTAGATCTTGTCAAAGAACATAAGAGTGTACAAGGGATAATTGTATATAGGGCAACAATGGTTACTTGATAAGAACCTAACCAAACTAAAATTTGGAAAATGTATACACCAATTATTGTTTATTGCAGAAAACCCATGCTATACCACCCCATCCCATACTGACGAAAAAAATCTAATCTATACGGCTAGAAAACCTTCTCCTAATCATAAGAAACAAATCTACAAGTACTACCTCTGTCCATATCAAGCACAAGAACTATTGTTTTGCTTGCATCATTGGGAGTACCTTGATCCATTTGTATATTAGTTCTATTTTTATTCCACATATACAGAGTTTAAATATAAAAGGATAAACCAACCAGTAATACACTCTCTCTTACGCTTATTAGATAGACATCAAAAAGTTCGAAAAGAAGTTCGTTCAAAGCTTGCTTCTCCGTTTAACTTCTAACTTTGAAAAAGGACCAAAATCAGTAGGGTCGGATTCTGGTGAGGACGGAAGCTATGGTGAGAATGGTAAGAAGGGATCTCCACCCTCGGATTAGTCCTAATTGAAGATTAACATTGATGAGATGCACCTGATCAATTCCAGTGAGGAGTGCAATTCATGGGGTGGGGGTGAGATTAAAAGTGATCATCGGTCCAGATCCCTTCTTACACTTCTCACCTTAACTCCTATTCTCACACGATCCTTCGTGAAATCAGTAAACCATACTCCATTTTGAAATGGACATGCTGAGCTGTCCATAATCCTGACACTGAGTTTGACCAGAACAACCTTTCATGGAGATTTGAATTGAACATTTCTTACATATCTCAAGGGCATATAAATTCAAATTTGTGAAAGACACAAACTATCCAATGAGCCAAATATAAGAGGTCAAATCATCACATGATGTGGTAGTTGATTATAAACAAATTTCAGATCCTGATTACTTATTTTGGTAATGTAGTCAGATTTGCAAGTGTCTACATCATGATTGCCAGATTACAAGGTGAATGGAACCTTTTATCCTTGTATACATCATATTTTCAAAGCGTATACATAATCTGTTGACTCATCTTAACAAGGTTACATGCATGAATCTTTAGATAGTTGATAGAGCCTAATTTAGTTGTTCCAATACAGGTTGCTATTGCACTTGAATCGGTTCCCAGATTCTCAACTTAATCCCTCAATCACCTCCAACAGAAATCCATATCATCAATGACTGTGTAAAACTTGAAAATCCTACTTTAGTATTTCAGTTTTTAGTTTTATTTACGGCAATCATACGTAGAAGTTAAACATATCTGAGGATGAAGATTGTTAATCAATATATAGTTGTATAACTGATATAAGCAAGGGTTTTGAGCTTTCTATGGTTAAATTGAAAACCTCAAACTGAATCTTAGGTGAGAGACTAACCAGCCTTGAGCAAAAGAAAAATATCCATGTTGAGGAAGGAAGATAATTTGAGGGTAAGGAGTCCAATGAACAAAAGGTTGTGGTGTTGTATATATGCAGAAGTAGTGTCACCCGATTACCAAATCAAAGAGACTTCCTTTGACCAAAGATTAAAAGATAGACCATTATATGCTTTGCTCACCTCATAGGAAAGTACGCCTCATAGGAAAGCACGGCACGTCTAAAAAAATTTGCAAGCAGTTTCCAGCGAAAAAGTGAGCTTTGAGCCAATAAAGGCTAAGAAACATTGGCACAAGAACTAATAGCTCCATTGAAGAATTATGACCTCGTTGCTTAAGCATGTAGTAAGGCTAAGAAATATACATAGAGAGTCCCTTTTTGGCACCTACTAGTGACAAACAACGGAGTGCAAAAAATATGATGCAAGAAACAGCATATACAAACATGAAGAAAAAGGAAAAAATTATTGTTACATATAACATGGTATGATTCACTCAATGGAGGATGACATGTGAGCCAGAACATTATTATTAGCACGCATACTTACGTTTTCCCTTAACTACTGAAGAACCTGATCTTGCAGCCTTCTTCACATCCAAACTGAATGCCAGTTCACGTATCTTAGACTTGATTTCTTTTCTGAAATTGGCAGTTCTTTCACTGGGGCATGAAATTGCCATCTTTTGGGGCTCCCAATAATAAGCTTTCAACCAATCAAGTGCCTAAAAGATCACACCAAGAATCATCAACATAATAATATTGGCTACATGTACTTGAAAGCGTAATGTACTATACAAGTATACAGTGAACGAGTAGGTTCTAAATGGATGTTGAGTATGACATGCTAGTTAAGCAAATATGAAATTTTACCATGAAATACTCCTGTTATCTATTTAACAAACCTAGGACACTGTTTAAAATTTGGCTCCAGACCAATTTTTAATTGACTAATCATAAATGACCAAATTAAATTTCTATAAGTAAATTCCTAAAAATGTAATGGAGACATTGCCTAATTGGGCACTTATTGCGTCTAGCGTGTGCCTAACAAAAAGTAAAGTCCACATCTGGTTCAGCGTGTGTTTGGCACAGTTTTTGGAGTCAAAATGCTGTTGCAACAGTGCCATAACCTCACAGTCAACAGCAGGTCAAGGCCCTATTCTGTTCTGTTTCTCATACATGATCATCCACTTCAAGGTTGAAACTTGTAGGAGACATTCAACAATCCCCAAGTGTTTAGTAGTCCCCCACATAGTTTGAGATCATTAGGTTGCTAAAAAGTTGCTTTTCACTGAAACCTTTTTCTGAACAGCAACCTAAATTTCACCTTGTAGCAAGATTTGAGTAGTCGTTTTAAGCTTTAAGGTCTCTTGCACAGTAAATTAGTGAATTAGCATATCAAAACTACTGACTTGCTCGAAGAATGGTCCCTACTAATCTTGTACCATAGCAATAAAACTTGGCATGGACAACAACACGCATACCACTTGCGCCTCTTATTAGTTAAGCGACAAAAACTCAAGACTAGCAACTAACTTCACAACGAGAATTATGGCCAGGAAGGAACATCATCAGTAGAGTAACACAAACCAGAAAGAGAGACCTTTGTAGAATATTAGTAGTATATACCTTTGCAGAATATTAGTAGTATATACCTTAGTAGATGCAAGCCGAACCAGTCTCAATGAAGGTAGGTCACGATGTGAACACTCTGCAAAAAAACATATGGGAAGGGAGCATTAGAAGATAGAATAACAACAAACAAGCTAGGCAAAGAATGTTCCTGGAAACCGACAATAAAAGTCACCATGAAAAGTTTATCAAGTTGTCTCCTCATATAATGATGAGAGGGACCAATAATGTAGCCTACTAATACTCTTCCTGATGAACATATAACATGAACAACGAATGGTTAACCCATCAGTATTGAATAAAAGAGTGTGATAACAACATTATTTAGCTCGAAGAAGATCTCACAAACTACTAGAAGGATATGATTTAATGAACTGGAACTCACAACAAGCATATACTAATGCACAAATGTGTGAGTATGCTTTTGTGTATATTAGTTAGATGTACATATACATGTAAAACTTAAAGGCATATATTGAATTCCTTACCATGACGAATATCAATCAGCATACGAGGAATACCAATTGCATCAGCTGCCTCAGCAATTGAAACCTCATTCTTCTTACGAGTCTTCTCCACAATACCATTCACAAGCCTTCAAATTTAAGTTTCAGGTAAGAATATTATAAACTTCAAGATGGCAGAACAATATAATCCATCAAAAGCATTCAAACAACTATGCATGTACAAAGAGGCATATGATCAGACTACAGCATCAAAGGTCGAAGAAAATTGGCAGTTCCAGAGATCTGAGTTGGGAGGCGGGAGGAGGCACAGATATGTGGAACCAGGGATTTGTAGTTCTAAAAATATCAGGATACGAGTTTACTTGTGTAATATACATATGAATATATTAATCTAAAACCAAGACAAAAAGAATAGTTGCTTTTGTAGTTCATCTGTAAGATCCTTTAAAATCAAACGTAAACCTAACTTTGGTTTCGAAAGTTTATATAGTATATAAAACAAACGATTGTGAGCAACTATGTGCTCAACAATAGAAATAGACCATCCACATATGCATACCAGACAGATGTGTGTCTGTGTATATATGCATGCAACATAATATAGCCGCCACATTGCAGTACGCACTGTAAGAAAGAGAGACATAAACGAGACTACAAACTCAGAGAAGAGAAGCAATTAGCTAACTGCCAGTCAAAAAGAGCTTGTAGCTAGTCCTCACCTCTCTTGCGCCTCACTCTCTCACATGCAAAAGACTTGGTTTTACTTCTGGTCTTAACATTAAGATCTAATTCCTAAATTTAATTTGAGCTTTTGATCTCACCAGCAGGGCAAAATAATCCACCCTCTGTCCACCAATACATGGTCCAGAATTTGGGATATAATTGAAGTCACACCCCATGTAGACACCACTGACTTTTGACGTACTCGATACAGGGATTCAACAAGAATACATGTGCCCTTGCTTCTTGGGAGCTCATATATGTGTGTGTATGTATATTGGTTACATATTTAAAGAAAATGTTCCTCACTTCCTCTAAGATGCTACAATCTGACCACATGGACTCAGAGATAAAACTGAAAAGTAAACCTAAGTAATACGAATTTGCATCAAAATAGTTTTGCATTTGGTAATCTACAGCTGATAGAATTTTTCCACAATATCATCTCCTAAGCAATGTACAAGAAACTTCCAAGACATAAGTAAGTTCATAAAAGATCCTATTGCTACTTAGATATATCCCTGTCAAGTACTTGAAGCCGAACATGAAACCATGGAATTGCAACAATCCACATCAGACCTTTCCAGATAAACCATGGAATATATTTTGTCATAATTGGCCTTGTGCCTTGTTTATTGCATATTGGAGTCCAGACATCTGTTTTATTCAGCACCAAGCTTGTTAAGTGGACAAGTTAGTTTATATGTTACACGCAACTTACTAAAGCTACTGTTTCAGGTTGAACCAAGTTTCCTTCAACCTATAGAGAATGGAGCTTCGCATATTGTAAATCTTGGATGCCTGGCAGTTCAGAGTACATACTGATCCTTCTTTTAGTCTTTCGTTTACCTAAGGAAGCCACTTGTCCTTCTTTGGTTGATACAGTTTATTATCCCAAATAGAAGTCTTTACCTCATAATAGCCATACAATATAACATTGTCAACATATCCTCTTCTAGTATATCACTCTCGGACAGACCATCCCTGCATTGAGTAAAATAGATGCATAAATATTCGGGAATACATCAATCCCATAGGAGCAAAATTCAATTTCAGCTTGTCAGATGAGAAAAGAAACATCCACCTAAAGAAAGAATCCTTTTGTTGGATTTCAATGATAGAAGCAGTGACTTCAATTACTACAGGAAGGCATCCTCTGCTTCGCCAGGCAGATATCTGGCCCAAAAAAAATGAATTCAATGATCTTATCAATATACTAGGACTCAGTCTATTGTATATATGATCCTTACTCTTCGAAGAGCTAAGTCTATGGAGCCAGGGGAAGAAGAAAACAGTGATTCTCTCACGGAACTCCAATCATCCCAACTTATCCAAGGCACCAACTTATAGTTGCCTTCCCCAAACGCCTCATTGCTTGTTATTTCATTAACTCCAAGCACTAGTTGTGATTCCATTGTAATGGCGGATTGAGAACTACCACGAACTAGATTGAACTGAAAAATGCCGCAAAAGAAAACTATAAAACAAGAAAGCAATCAACCTTCGTAATTTTTAGGGCTAAATGCAAGAAATAGCAATAAATTCCAAAATTTTGTTATTATAGCATTATGCTTTTATTTCTTCTTATTATAGCAGTGTACTTTCAAAATGCTTTTGTTATTATGCCATTGTACTTTAAAAAATTTACTTGTTACTGCAATCTGATAATTTAAATCCTGATGACATGGCAATTAGTTAACAGGTTTATTTGCAATGTCACTGTCCATGTCGGGTGTCTACATGTACTATATTGGTGAAATGACAAAATATTAATTTTTTTATAAAAAAACTTCCCAACTTCAAAAAATTACCAAATTTTATCTTAGAAAACAAAGTTAATTTTTTTAATTAAATAAAAAATGAAGGAAAACCCAATATGCACTTATCAGCCCTTTTTGTATAAAACTCGTATAGAGTGTTATTTTGTTTGATAAATGAGAAAAAACTGGTGACAAAGTATTCTTTATTTCTAACACAATTTCATGGATAAGTTTGATCAAATAAATAAAATTGATTGATTAGTAGGTTTTCACTGCCAAAACCCAAGTGCGTTAAGAAACAAACAATTAAACCTAATGATCCCACAATAAAATTAAATTAATAGTGTGTTTTGGGTCCTCTCTCACCAAATCAATACAGAAGCTTTACACAGACACAGGCAACAATTGAGATTGGATTGCAAACACTTGTTCAAAGTTAAAAACACTCTTTTTTCTTCTTTAACCCCCTCTGATTGAAGCTTGTTTTAAGTTGCAAAAAATTATATCAATATCCTGTTGTCTTCGCTTCTACTTGTCAAACACCCCAACCCACATTCATTTCAACATCTCTATTCTACTTTTCAAACACCCCACCCCACATGCACTTTTTCTACCGCCTCGCATTCTCCTCAGTGAGGACAACTCACAACAGAGCAAAACTGAGACTAGTGTTTTCAAGAGCAAAATCAGTGAGGATTCAAATCAATGAGCAATCAAAATCAATGAGGTTTCAAGAAGTAAACAATAAGCAAAAATGAGGTTTCATTGTTTCAACCAGTACCTGTACAGCTGTAAAACAGAGCAAAATGAAACTAGGGTTTCTGGCTCTGCGGTTCTGAAATTGTGGACAACGAGAGGAAAACAGCGTCGAGGGGACAGCCGACGGAAACTGAAATCGTGCTCCTGCCTCCTAAAATGGTGCACGTCAGCGCCAGACGGGAGAGGGACGGGAAATTGTTCCACTTCCCTTCTACGCTAATACCCTTGGGGGTAGTTTTTGGTGTTTGGAGAAAAGAAATATTTATAATGTTTTTTTTTTTAATAAGATCATAATCTTTATTTTAATATTTTATTTTATTATTTGTTTTTGTTGATRTTATAATASGATTTTATRTATTTTTTAGAAAACAATAATAATTTTATTTTTGAATAAAATATAAATTTGAAGATATCATAAAAATTTGAAGATATCATAAAAATTTGAAAAAAAAATATATCAATGTTAATATCAAATCAATTATTTAAAAGTTTTATTTTTTATATAGTTTTTTTATTATAATTTAATTTAAGTTTAAAAACAAAATAATTTATTTTTGGTTTAATAATATAACATTTTATAAAGATAATGATTAAATATTTTGTTAGAATTCAATAATTATTCTAATTATATTTTAGATTTTTTATATTTAAAATGAGATGTTTATCTGCAGTTAATTACACGAATTCAGATATGGAGCTTTAATAAGTTGTACTTACGTACAATCTTCTTGTACTCTTGAATTTTAAGTAATGTACATTAATAAACAGTACTTTACACATAAAAAGTGGTTTTTAAGAGTTTTTGTCAAATGCTTTATAATATAGTATAGATATTATCTTCTAAGCGGTTTGGGATTGCTTATTTAAAATGTATTAATTTATTTGATGCGATAACGGTAATAAGAAATTTTAGTGTTTCGATGGAATAAAAAATAATACTTATTAGCGGTGTGATACCGGTAATAAAAAGTTTTTACATGTATAAGTAATATTTGTCAAAGACACTAAAAACAACTTATCAGTTTATTATGTTTTGTACTGTTATAAGCTAATTCAAATACTTTTTATAAAACTCCGGTTTAACACTACATAAGTTGATAACCACTTTAAAAAACAAACAAACATAAAATTTAATTATAAATTTCGTCCCTGTATTTGATGGTTTTTACAGTTAACGTCCTTAACCCTAAACATGGGTCATCCTAGTTTTGAATTTGTTAAAATCGGATCCCTTGTTTTAACTCTGTTAATAAATCTTTTGTATTTTAGCTTGTTTATCCATTTCCTTAATGGTTTTCTTTCATACAACATTATATGCTTTTTGTACAAGTGTATAACTGATTAATAATTAAAAAAAAACACATTTGCAATCACGATCTACTCCTCTTTAGCCATTCCCTCATCTTCGACTACTTTGTTTACTCTGCCCACTACTTCATCTGCCCACCACTGATCGATTGACTTAACCGGATGCGGAAGGGTGGCGGTTTACGGACACCAGAATAGAGTCATAAACATCAAATCAACCTAAATCTGATCTTTAATTAATAAAACTCAACCCAAATTAACCCAAATCCATCCAAATCCAAATTAAGGTTAAGGACTTGATCCGTAGCGAAAATGGAACCCTAAAAACCCAATCATATTTTTTACGGTTAGGGACCTTCTTTGTAAAAACTATGAAACCACGAGAACGAAATTTATACTCAACTCTTTGTTTTTATGATTATTAGAGTGAATTACACTTTTGTCTAAATCACGTCCTTATTTGAAAATAATTGTACTAAGTGTCCTCTTTATATTTCGTTACGAATTAGATCCTCCAACCTTTAGCATTGGTAAATCTAATTCGTTAATTCAAGGACAATTTAGTCAATTTATCCATTTTATGTCTTTTTTCTATTAAAAAATAATACCAATATATTATATACTATTATATATAGGGGGGTTCTAGATACAAATCTCATATTGCAAAATAATTAAGATATTTATGGAAGACGATTATGGTTCACTTGCATTGTCAAAATACTTCTAATACATTTAAAACTTACCTAAAATCCAATCGTTTTTCATTATAGAATTAATTTTAACCATATGGTTATAAAAAGATTGTAGTGTTTCTTTTTGCTTGCATAACCATTCAAGCATTAAATGGGTTGAGTTTCATCTTATAAGTGTGCTAAATGCCATTTTCCAAATGCCAGGAATGACTATAAGCTGATAGAGTCGTTTTAACATAAAATAAACCGAGATACAATGTGACTAATTCCAGGTACAAACCGGTTTGTAAGGCTTGGTACCTACGTCTTGACAAAAATAAAAGGTCTATACAATTGAGTGACTATTTTACCCCTACAAAAAACCAATGTTAACATAAATCTATTTTTTGGGTAACCATATATATCTGGACCAGCTTATGTGTATTGACTAATCCCTTGGGTGACTACAAATAGCCTGAAATCATCGCATGTAAGGCTTTGACAGTGTATTGATTCCAACCTAGGGAACATGAGATTTCCGCTACTCCCCCTGAGGCTTAACGAACTCGCCATAAATCTAAATTTGTCTAAGGTTGTTTGAAAATTTTAATCCTGGTTGTACCATTGAATTTATAATATGTGACACATGGCGAGTGTGAAAAAAAAACACTACCTATCTACCAGATATAAGCTTTAAATCGTTTTTAAAAATTTTCAACAATACGATATTATCAAACGCGTTGTCAAAAGAAATGCTAATTAGTTTATCCGAAAAATGATAAAATTCAATTATATCTTTTGGCATTTTAAATCATTTATCTCTATCATATGGGTAAGTAAGTTGCTCAAACACAAAAATATGTTTTATCATGACCATTCCATTGAGTCGATACACTAAGTTATTACTCAAAGATGCGATTATTGAAAATTGTGTAGGGTGATGCAAAAATTTAATGTTTGAAAATAAATCTTCCATATTTGTTTGTGCAATTTCCATAGTTTAATGCATCACATTTTAGAGTTGAAGGACTTGCTTGTCGTTATCTCGGTTGAAGCGATGTTTGGATCTACCTTGTTATTTGCATGTTGCCAAAGTGGATGGATAACAAGCCCGATTGAATCACCAGTTTTGCTTTCATCATCTGACATATCTCTCCATTATAAATCCAAACATCTTTGGTTGGTTTAAATATCGAATGTGTCGAATCTGTGACTTTCAACCAAGGGCAAGTTCTCTCAATGTGATGTTTTAGGGTGGAATTTTCCTCCGTCGTAAGAAGCACACTACATTGTTTTCACTATGCTAATATTTTTCTGCTAAACATAATAACCAAAATGAGATGTTCCCAAACCAAGGCTTTTCTAGCTATGTCTCTCAATTAGGTCTATAACGTGACTTTTAGGCGTTCAAAATTGAGAACCACCGAGAATATTACCGACTTGAGAACCAAAAAATTTGTGCGATGAAGTTTTTTCAACTTCAGATATCTCGACAAAAACTTAACAAGTCTAAAAACAAACTGTATCGTAATAATGTAAAGCTTATTTTAATACTGAGAGAAATTAAGAGAGATGGTGTGAAAAATTATCTAAAACAAATTTTATTTATAAAACAAGTGAATTATGGATTTGGTCCCTGTGTTTTGATGTTTTTTTACTAAGATTCTCATACCTTGTGTATTATGTATATAGTCCCTGTACTATGCGAATTGTTTTGACTAAAGTCCCTAAAGCTAATGTCATTCAATTTGGAGACGTTAAAGGCATGTGCCATGCACACCATGGATATGGATGTAATGTTAACTTTTTTCCATTTCAGTTAAACCTGTTACATAGCGTTAGAGACGGGTTTTAATAAACTCTTGGAGACCCTAATTAGTACATTATAATTGAAGCTTCTTATCATTAACCTCTGTAAACCATGCCATCGATCTTCATTCATCATCATTGAGTTTGTTAATCTGATCACTATGTATTTGAACACATTATCCTCATCTTTGAATTGCATTGCTTATGAAGATAGTTAAAACATAGTGGAACATTTGTAGCGCATGCTATAACACCCCAAAAATTTCCAAAATAAACCGGTTTAGTGAAATCCAATTGAATCCGTGAGTGATATCCCGAGCGATTTAGAAATCCGGATAGATGTATTGAGCGATTAAGACCAGGCGATATATTGATCTTGTGCGATGAAGTCTCCGTATGAGTTTGTGTAATGGAAGATTCAGAATGGGTCTTAACACTGGTTGGGCCTGAACGATTTAGAACTAAAACACAAACACAAAAGAATTTTAAAAAATTGGATCAAAAACACAAAGTTTTTAAAAAAAATCAAGAACACAAAAAAATTTTAAAACACAAAATCCGATTAAATCTTGGAATATAATAATCAAATCACAAAAGTTTGTGAATAGCAAAGATTCACAA